GCCGCGGCGAGCGGGCGATGCTCCAGCGGCCTGAGCAGCCATGGAGGCCGAGGCAGGAGGCCTGGAGGAGCTGACGGACGACGAGATGGCGGCGCTGGGCAAAGAGGAGCTGGTGCGGCGCCTGAGGCGAGAGGAGGCAGCGCGTCTGGCCGCACTGGTGCAGCGTGGCCGCCTCATGCAGGAGGTAAATCGGCAGCTGCAGGGTCACCTGGGGGAGATCCGCGAGCTCAAGCAGCTCAACCGGCGCCTTCAGGCCGAGAACCGCGAGCTGCGCGACCTCTGCTGCTTCCTGGACTCGGAGCGTCAGCGCGGGCGGCGCGCGGCACGCCAGTGGCAGCTTTTCGGGACCCAAGCTTCCAGGGCGGTCCGCGAGGACCTGGGTGGCTGCTGGCAGAAGCTAGCCGAGCTGGAGGGCCGCCAGGAGGAGCTGCTGCGTGAGAACCTGGCCCTTAAGGAGCTCTGCCTGGCTCTGGGCGAGGAGTGGGGTCCCCAAGGCGGCCCCGGGGGTGCAGGAGGCTCTGGAGCCGGCCCGACACCGGAGCTCGCCCTTCCCCCCTGCGGACCCCGCGACCTAGGCGACGGAAGCTCCAGCACTGGCAGCTTGGGCAGCCCTGATCAGTTGCCCCTAGCCTGCTCCCCCGATGACTGAGGGCGCTGCTTCTACGCCGACGCCCTCGCGGATTGCTCCCGGAGCTCCCAGACGGCTGTGGACCTTAGCATCTGGGCGCTGACCAGGACGAAGAAGCCCTGGTACTAAGGAGGGCCCCTCGATCTCGCTGGCGGGGCATCAGGGGAACTGGAGGCTGGAGCGGAGGGACTTACTGGGGTTTGTGTGGGGACTAATAAACCGGGACCGAAGCGGAGCCCGAAGCCTTGGCAGCGTCTGTTTGGGACCCGCTGGGGTTGGGATGAGGGCGGGATCGCTGAGACGGGGTAGCACTCTCATTCGAAAGGTCTGCAGAACTAAGGTGGCTGACTCTCGTCATCTCAAGGCTGGGGTGGGATCCCGACGGTGGTAAACCATGGACTTCCTCCATCTGGCGCCCAGGCAACGCTGAAGTGGCTCCAGCTCCCTCCCCGCCTCCTTCCTGTCCAAGACAATGGGGCAGGAAGCAGGTGTTGGGGACCTAAAACACACTGGCTCTTCTCCGAAGGTAGAAGGAGAGTACTGGCGCCCCCCCTATGTCACAAGCAAGAGCACTGCGGGTTCCTACAAGATGATAATCTGCCTGCACCCACAGTACTCTCAATCCTGTAGATGTGGCAGAGGGAGTGTAGCCCCATTTGTAAGATAAGACAGTTGAGGTCCAAAAATATTTTTTAGATTGTCCGAGGTCACACAGTGAGTCAGAAACTGTCGCTGGAACCTAGAGCTTCAGGCTGCAAATTGCCTCCCTTTAACTTCTGCATCCAACGAGACATCCAGCCAGGGCTTCAAGACTTTTATTACATTTTGGCAGGACTGTATAAAAATATTCTCTCTAGGAAAATAAATAGCAGCTGCCCTCGATGTGGGGGCTTGGATTTCTTGGAGTTAGAGGTTTCTCAGAGCTGCAGGCTACAAGTTAGCTCATCACAGAAGCCTCTGGTTCCTCCTGAGCTGTGCCATTCAGGAGGAGCCTGCAGAATCCCTAGTCCAATGACCTGATGCTGCTGGCAGTGAGGCTGGGTGAATTAGTGTTCCAGGCTGGTAAAATGGCACCTTCTGTCAGGGTGGGCTTGGGTGGATCTAAATAACAGGGTGATAGAGTTTGGGAGTAGTCTCGAATGGGATAGGGTTAGTCTTGGTTCGCCAGCATTTCTCTGGCACAAATGGGAATATTTTGTCTTTGATTTAGTGCAAATTGGGATGGAGAGGCCAGCTCTAGAGAAACAGTGAGCAGCTTTGTAGCCCCAAGCTGGCTATTTGAGAAGCAAAATATGATCAGTCTCATCAGGAGGGAGGGAGAAGAAATTACTGGCATTGGGTATGGAATATGATCCAGGCCTGCTGGACCAATGGGGGAAAGGGACATGTTGGCTAGGGTAGCATCTGCAGGGGTGGGACTGGGTGTCTCACAAAGCAAGGAGAGTTGGGGAGCCTAGAGGGTCTGAAGATGGGTCCCCACTGCTGCTGCTACTCTTTCGATGAGCTGAGGCACAAGGCTCAGGGGTGCTGGGATAGGTAAAGACCAGACTTGGGGTAAAAGGAGTCAGAGAGGGTGTGGTCATGAGTGTTGGGGTGTGCAGTGCCTCGGGTTCAAGCACGGGCCCTGGGGAAAGGGAAATACAAGGTACAGGACGGCAGGGGGCTGGTGGGCTGCTGGTGCCTCTGGTACTGCTGACACCACCTGGATCCCTATCCTTGTCTACTTCTGGGATTTTGCAGATGGGGCGGTGGGCTTCCAGCACCAGCTCCAGGCGCTCCTTCTGCTTCTGCAGCTCCTCTATCTCTCGCTGCAGCCCGGATTTCTCATCCTCGAGTTTGTCAGTCTCCTACAGAGTGTCGGGGGAAGAGTTGGGAAAATGAGGGCTGAAGACCCCAAAGCCTCCAGAGGGACTAGCAGTGGGGTTGGAGTTCCCAGCAAGTCTGGACTGCAACTCCCATGAATCTACAGGGGAAAAATAGGCATAACTCCCATCAGGCCCCGGGCATCTTGGAAGAAGAATGCCCCCTAGCCTTGGTTATGTTCTGCTAGGTGCATTACAACTAATTTTTTGTTGTTGTTGTTGTTGTTGTTTTTGAGATGGTCTTACTAGGTAGTTCAGACTAACCTGGAACTCACTATGCAGCCCAGGCTGGGCAATCCTCCTGCCTCAGCCTCCCAAGTGCTGGGATTACTGGCGTGCGCCACCACGCCCGGCCTACAACTAATTTTTAATTGTATTTTCCTCCTTTTCCCAGAACGACTGTCCTTCAGACATAGAGCTATAGTGGGGTGTGGGGGACTAATAGATTGGGCCTGTGGGCACAGGGGTCCCTCCTAAGCCTGGTGGGCCAGAACCAGTACTCACTGCCTGCAGGAAGTCAGTCAGTTCCTTCCTCCGGTTCCTGCACTTGGCCGCAGCCAGTTTGTTCCGCTCGCGCCTCACTCTGCGGCGCTCCTCCTCCTCCGGGCTGATCTGCGGGGTGGGGATAGGGGCAGCAGTGAGGGGGACCCCAGGCTCCTCCGCAGCTTACCATCCTAGGTGACCCAGCGGTAGGAAGCATAAGCGTGGCAGCGCGGGGTGGGGGTGGGCTCCGCCTGTAGTTTTGGGACCCTCACCTAATTCTTTGCCCTCAAGGGTTCCTTTGCTTGGTCAAATTTCCTCCTGAGACTTGGCTTTGGCACCTAAGTATTTCTTTCCCATAATGCCTTCCGCTCCACAAACCCAACCTTCCTCATGTAGAGTATAAGTAAGATGCCCCCTCTTCCGGGAAGCCTTCTCATTCCCCAGCCAGGAGTGTCTGTCTTCCTTTGAGCCCCTGGGACTATCCCTTTTCACAGGGCTCTGCTCCTTCTAAGATCTCTGGAAGACCAAGTCTCCTCTTACCCCAGGAACTACAAACTGTAGGAAGGGCTCATGAATGCTGCTGAGTAAGTTGCAATTTATTTTGGGCCTACTATGTGCCAGCTAAGCACTTTACATTGCTGCTTCTATACCTTCTCTTTTTCCTGCTGTGCTGACTGATGTGTGCTAGGCAAGCACTCTACCACTGAGTCTGAGCCACAGCCGTGGCCCTTACATAGATGCTTCGTCCAATTTCCCATGTAAGGAAATGAAGCCCAAGGAGGATGAGTGTTTTGTTCGTGGTTCCAGAGTAAGAATTATATCCAGTAATTCTATTTGCATTGAGGGAGAAGCCACTGATGGAGGCCCCTCTCCTAGAGGACCTCACTGACAGCTTACAGCCCTAACCTGGCAGTACCCAGTATCAAAAGGTCACATTCAAGACAAGGCTGAAGGAAGAAGTATGGGGCGGGGAGTTACCCGTGGTCTGCCTCTGCTCACACTCCAGTTTCTCACAAAACGAGCCATTCTATTTCTGGAACATCTGCTCCTGGCTGATCTCACCTTTTTCCCAGGGCCCCCAACTCCTTCCCCCATCCTCCACTCAGCCTTAAGAACAAGCTTTTTGTCTTTTCCTTCTAAATAAGGTCTCATTATGTCCCAAGATGACCTTGAATTTTATACAGCCATATAGTGCAGGATAGCCTTAACTCTACAAACCTCCTGCCTTAGCCTTCCAAGTGCTGGGATTACAAGCATGTACCACTATGCCCAGCACAGAGCAAGCTTTTTTTTTTTTTTTTTCAAAGCAAGGTTTATAATCCCACCATAGTCTCATATACCACCCCCACCCAAGGAGGGGAAAGGAGAACCACTCCCTCACAGACATCCATCTCTTACTGATTTACTTGGAGGAGAAGGGGGTTCTCAGCTCCTTCTGCCAGGAGCCTTCTGTTAGCTCCTCCATGCTTGGGATCTGACTTTAAAGTTGGGTAGACCCAGGGCCAAGGCCAATCCTGTCTTGGGTGATCCTAGGCAAGTGACTATCTCTCTGTGCCTTCATTTCCTCAGCTGGAAGATGGAAAAAGCAAAGTGTATCCCCTAGAGGGTTTTTGTGAGGATCAAATCAGATAAGGGAACTGAGACCCAGAGAATAGCAGAAGGGAACCCTCTTTTCCAGTTCTCTCCCCAGCTACTGACAGTTTAAGTCTACGCGCATCACACATGTCAGCAGATTCTCCTCATGTATACCTTATATTCTTTCCCTTCCACCTTGATTCTTGCTCCTGCCATCCACTCTTCCTGGAAAGGCCTTTCCTTCAGTGCTACCTATGCAAATCCCACCCACCTTCTAAATTACATGCCATCTTTGCCAGGAAGCTTTTTCTGATCCAGAAGTGACCTCTTTGCCTTCTGGACCTTCCTGGGGACAAATCCTATGACTTTTTGCCTTGTGCAGTAGTCATAACGGCCTTACCTTCCCCCTTCCAAGCCTGTGCTCTTCAGCAAGAGCTTGTCCAGCACTCTAGCACCCCTGTGGGCATTCAGCACCACTGCAACACCTCTGTTGCTTACCTGTTCACAAGTCCGACTACGAACTCCTGGAGGTGGCCCCAGGGCCCGAATGACTCCTGGCCGGAGCTGTGGGGGACTGTACTGGGGGTAGGCCAAAGGCCGGGGGTAGCCGCTTGACCCCAGGAAATGAGGCTGTACCATCCACTGCAATTCCTGGTTGCCACTCACAGCATTGATGCTTGGCACAAGGTGGAACTTCTAAGAGAAAAGAAATGAAGGGTGAGGGATGAGATCTGTTGGATTGGGAGGCTTTCAGATTTTACCATACTGCTGATCACCCTCCATGAAGATGCTGCTTCAGGGAAACCAGAAAGAACACAACTTCAACTTGGCTGTCAGAAACTCACTTGGTGGCAGACTATGAGCTGTGTAACTTTGGGCGGTCATATCACCTCTCTGTTTGTTTCCCCAATATGGCTCATTCTTATCAAGCATGAACTGTCTGGCACTGTTCTAATTGCCTTACAAACAGTGACTCATCTAGCTGGTACAATAGTATTAGTATCTCCATTTTCAGACAAGAATACAGTTGTCTGCAGACAAGACAAATCAGTAGGAAATGGGATTTGAGCCCAAGTGGCTGGGGTCTTACACATTCCTTCACCCATCCACATAAAAAGGATAATTATGGCACCTACTAATAGCTCACGGTGTGGCTATGAGAATCAAGTGAGAGAATGTGACAATCTGGAAAATGACATGTGCCCAATGCAGAGGGGCTGTGATGGGCAAGAGCTGCTGCTCCCACTTGAAATCTCAGCTCAGCCATTTCCTGGCCAAGTGAGTTATTTAACCTCAATGTACACATTTCCTGTTGGTCCTAAGAAGTAGTGCTTTAATAAAACTGAAATCATAGTTTAGTTGGTAACATTAAAAAAAAATCAGTGGTTCAAAAAATAGTGGATGTTTAAATCTACGGGGTTTTGGAGTCCATGAAATAATGAGGTGGAAAGAGTCCAGTGGTTGTCTGGCACCCTGTTAGCACCAGAGCTATTACTAGGGATCATTTTCTTTAGCCAGAAATTTGATCAGTGGGTTGGGGTGTGGGTTCAGTGTTCTGGGAAGAGATCTGGGGCCCAGCCCTGTGGGGCCCAGCCATCCAGGAAGTGCCCGCCAAGCCCAGGCAAGCCCTGGCCCAGTGCTACGGGCCCAGCGACGACCCAGTGACCCCAGTTCCTGGCCCGAGGCACCGCGGGGCAACTTCTCTTGCTCCCAAAGTCGTCCAGGATGGGACTGCTTCAGGCCAGGAAGGGAGGGGCGCCGGGGGTGACTCAGCCACCGTGAGTCGGCCACCGTGACTCTGCGGAACAGACGCCGCTCCTTTCCTCCCCTGACTACACGTGCTCGCAGCCCCTCAACAGGAAATGGGCACCTGCAGCCTCGCCGATCCCCTTAGCTGGCAGTGGGTGCCTTTCGTTGCCGAGAGTCGGGCGGCGGGTGGCGGGGCGTTATGGGCTGCATGACCCGACGCACCACCTGGCACTCGAGGTTTCTATTTGTCCCACCCTTCATTAGGGTCGGGAACCAGCCCCCTAGAACCCATCAGGGTCCACTGCGCAAAGAACGCAATAGAGTCTCGGCGACAGGGGAGGAGAGATGGACAGACAAATGGACAGACAGAGAAGATTCCTACTCTGTCCAGGCTGGTCTCTCATGAATCCTGTCCCCCTTCTGTGTCGGGATGTCTCTGCCACAGACCAGATCCTAGGAATTTAGCCCGAGATGGAGAGCTGGCTGGAGGCAGGTGGGACACAGAATTTAGCGGTGGACAGGAGGCAAGAAAAGACGTTAACGGAGACAGAGGGACAGACAGCAGACAGTGAAGGAGAAGGGGACGTGAGAGAAAGGGTGCGTTAGTTGATCTTCGGTGCGTCCGAAGCGCGCGTTCCCCTGGGTCCTGGGGCGGAGGGACGCTGGCTCTGGACATTGTAGAATCCACTGGACCCTCGGCCCAGTCCCAGACCGAGTCTTTGCTCTTGGTACCGACCCTCGTCCTGAAGCGCACCGCAGCCAACCCCGGCGTCCCAAGCACTGTCCACTCGGGGACCTCAGGATCCGGCCCG